AGGGGCTGGAGGAAGGGGCCGTGCTGCTGGGGCAGTGCCGGGGATTCCAGGAGGGTCTTCGCCCGCCGGCCGCACTCTTCCAGGCTCTGGGTTTCTGTGGCAGAGGAGAGAAGGGAAGAGAACTTTTAGTTGAGGGAAGCACATTTCAGCCCTGAGACCTGGGGGTGGGAGGAAGGGTTGCTGCTACCCAGGCCACTGAGGTGACATTTATGTCCCGTCTCTTCTCACCGACCGGCCTGGCTTCTCTCCCCGGCACAGGATGGGGTTTGGCAGAAGCAGGGCTCGTCTATGTGGCCGTGTGAACAGCAACGTGCACCAAAAGGCTGCTCTGGCCACGTGAACGCAAACTCAGAGACACCTTGCTGGCGTTCACGAGGCCAGGGGATCACGTTCACGTGCCTTTCCGTGCGGGCCTGCAGTGGTCGCACGAGGGGATCACCGTGCAGCCCGCTGGTGCACAGTGCCGCTCACGGCCCCATCGCCCGCTCCGTGGTCCCTACTGAGCCCCAAGGTTGTCCTTACCCCTGCGTACAACATGGAGCTGCGTGGGGCACCTGAAAGTTTGGGGCACCGCTGGGTCCTAATGTCCACCCTCCTGCTGCTTCCTAGCCCTGTGGTTCTGCTTCCTCCGGAGAGGACCTAGTTAAAAAGAGAAGTAGCCGGCCAGAGCCGGAAAGAGCCAGTCAAGGGGGCATTTGCCCCCCCGGTCCATACTGTCCATTTCTGGACTGACCACAGGAGTCGACAGGACCTGAGTTTACAGTTTGCTTTAAAAATATTTCAGCAGCGTGTTGCTGGAGATTATAAAATCACATCCCTAAAAAAACATCTCCTCCCCCCTCGGGCTACTGTGGGGCACTGGGGCACCAGTTAGTCAGACTGTGCACGGCCCCATAAATTCTAAGGACCCCCTGGGCCGGAGCCATGCCTCGAGGCTCAAGTGGTAGCTTGAGGTAGCGATGGCCCCTTTGGCCGGTGGAAGGGGCAGCTGCGCGCCCCAGCTGGGAGGCTGTGGATGTATCCGCCCTGGGAAACGGCCAGTTTTCACCCGCGCGCGAGTCCCCAGGCCTGGCCTTTGGCACAGCCCAACCTCTTCGCAGCCCCAGGGACACACCCAGCTCCGCCTCTGGTCCCCACTGCGGCGTCACAGCCCAGCCGCGGGAGCTCAGCCTGCACGGCGGGTTGCTAACCCTTCGGGGCGCACCAGTTCTGTTCCGCGCGGGGAACCGCTGCGTGGAGGCGGGATTTACCCCCGTGCCGATCCTGTACGGTTATTTCATGAGCTCACCCGGGCCAGGCTGGGCCCCGGGGGGTACGTCTACACGGCAGCGTTATTTCGGAGTAAGCGACATTATTTGGAAATAACGAAGAGTGCATCTACACAGCAAGCCGTTATTTCGAAATAATTTTGAGCTGGCAGATTTCTTACTCCGACTTCTGTAACTCTTGTTTCACGAGGAGTAAGGGAAGTCGAAGGGAGAGTGTTTTTCCTTCCACTTCCTACTGGGTGGAAGGAAAAAAGCCGAATGAATTTTGACTTCAGCTATGCAATTGATGTGGCCGAAACTGCGTAGCTTAATTCGACTTTTGCCCTGCAGCGTAGACATGCCCAGGGTGGGCTGGCCTCGTTTTACAGGAAATCAACGGACACGACCCACAATGGCCGCCTAGGTGCCAAAGACTGGCGCACAAACCAATGGCCAATCCAAATACTGTCCGGATGAGGCTCTTGACATGGGCAGGTGTTTTGTGTTAAGGCAGGGAGACCCACCCTTTCCTATCACAGCATCGCCCAGAACTGGCCTTTGAAAGAAGCAACCAGGCCTTTTTAATCTGCCTCCTGGGCCCTGATTGGCTCCTGCCTGCTCCCCGCCCTTCTGGCCACTGGAGGACCAAGTCTTACTGGTTTCACAAGCAGCAGATTTTGGCGATCCCTAGAAGTCTAACCTTGCTGGCCTTCTCCGCTTCACAGGCTGGGTGCGCGAGCAATCACTGGTACTTCACCCCCACTTCTGTGCCCTGCAAATGTGCTCTCTCCCCTCTGACTGTGGAAGGGTTTTTTTAGGCATGAAATAGAGACTCTTGGTGCAGAGGCTGCCAAGAGTGTTCTTTAAGCCAAAGGGATGAGTTGAACACCATTTTAAGATCCCCGCGTGAATAATTATTTGCATCCCCCCCCGCTGTGGTCCCACGTTGGGGCTATGGCATGGATGTTCTTTCTGACGTTGGAATGACACTACCCCAGTGCCGGGAAGTTGTGCTTCAGGGCAAACACTGATTTCTGACACTCTTGTACGGGGTGGGCAATAATTTTTGTAGGGGGGGCCACTTCATCAATTTGGGTTGGCCTGGAAGGGGCGGGGTCTTAGGTGGAAGGGGTGGGGCTTAGGGCAGGAGGCGCAGTTCCCTCTAGGCACTAGGGGTATGTCTAGACTACATGCCTCTGTCGCCAGAGGCATGTAGATGAGGCTACCCGGCATAGAAAAATGAAGCGGCAATTTAAATAATCACCGCTTCATTTAAATTTAAATGGCTGCCGTGCTGAGCCGATCAGCTGTTTGTCGGCTCCGCGCGCTAGTCTGGACGCGCGGGGGTCGACATCAAAGGCATTTGTCGGCCTCCCAGGTATGCCTCCTGGGATGAAGTTTACCTGAGAGAGTGTGATAGTCTGGACGCTCCGCAGTCGACATCAAAGGAATTTGTCGACCACCCAGGTATGCCTCCTGGGATGAGGTTTACCTGAGAGGTCGACAAATGCCTTTGATGTCGACCCCCGCGTGTCCAGACTACAGGGCTGAGCCGACAAACAGCTGATCGGCTCAGCGCGGCAGCCATTTAAATTTAAATGAAGCAGTTATTATTTAAATGGCCGCTTCATTTTCCTATGTCAGGTAGCCTCACCTACATGCCTCTGGCGACAGAGGCATGTGGTCTGGACGTACCCTAGGTGCCCCTGGCGGGAGGGGGGCGAGGGAAAGGAGACTTCGCATGCTCCCCCGTGGAGATGTGAGGTCGTTTTCTCCGACTTTGCCAGAGGGGCGTGGCGCTCCGAGGGAACCACCAGCTGTTTTGAACAGCTGGCGGTTCCCTCTGGTGCCGCACACTCCTGGCGGGGGGTAGAGACGTCATGGGCTTCCCCACCCCTGGGTCTCAACTGGCCTGGGGGTAGGAGCCGGATCAAACGGCTTGGTGGGCTGGATCCAGCCGACAGGAGGTATCTTTCCCACCCCTGCTCTAGTAAGTCCAGACCGGCACCATCTCAGCACAGTGAGTCTAAATTCCCCCCGCCCCCATCCCACATACGGCGGGAGTAACAGAGCTGATTCTGGCCACGTGCAAATACATTATATTCCCACCTGGGTGATCCCAAAGCATTTTACAAACTGGCGGAAACCCTTCAGCTGCCTCCAAAATGCAGCTGCTTCTAGGGCGGAACGCGGCAGAGTTTAACAGCCCACGGTGACTCCGCGGTTTAGGAGAGGAAAGGAAGAATTCCATGTTTAGCTGAAGCTGCAGGGGATTTAAGCAGGCTCAGTGGATTTTATTCAGGCCCTTAACTCTATCCGCAGACGGATGTGAGCGCTCTGGTTTATAAAAGTGACCTGGCATCTGTTGGGGGGAGGAGGGGGAAGGGGAATCATTTTTATGCCAGAAAGATCCGGGGGGGTAAAATACGTTCTTTTTCTGCCTGCATTAGATCGCCTGTTCTTGCCTGTGCTGAATCTCTCCGGATGACTGGCGCTAGGAGAATTATGTCATTGCCGGCTGTGCTACTGTGATTGTTTCAGACTTGAGGGGGTTTATATGGTTTCTATCAACACTCGAGCCCGTGGGAAAACGTTGACGTTTGGACCTAAAAAGGACACCCACACAGCACAAACCTGTCGGCACCTTTTTAGCAGCTCTGTAGCAGGCAGGAGAAAACTCAGTTCGCCAGGGAAAAAATTAAACTGTCATGAACATCATCTCAAAAAAATGCCATGTCCCTTTTCAAGCCCCTTCTGAAAAGGGGAACATTTCATTCTAATGTCTAATAAAGTCTTTGGAGAAAGGATGTCTTTGTGAAAGTTCCAGACACCTTTTCCATTCGAAGCTCGGTTATCGCCTGTCTCTAAGGAGTCTTCCAGCAAAGCCAAGCAAAGTCTTCCTGCGCCCCCTTCCCTTCCTGTTCCTCCTCGCAGGGCACCAGATCCCTCCTGCGCCCCCTCCCCTTCCTGCTCCTCCCCGCAGGGCACCAGATCCCTCCTGCGTCCCCTCCCCTTCCTGCCCCTCTCTCCAGGGCACCAGATCCCTCCTGCACACCTGATCCTTCCTGCCCCCCAGGTCCCTCCATCCCTCTCCCCACTCCCCATCATTGCCTGCCCACCTGAAGGCTGGGCCCACCCATGTTTCCTGTCCTCGCTACACCACGGTGTCCCCACTACGAGCCCCACAGCGGCCCCGAGCCGTAGCTACGCCCTGGTAGTGCACTGCAGACACGTCCCATGCAACAGAGGCCACGTAAGCCACCGCCCTTCCCAAGCAGCGGTAGCCACGCGGATGGAACCCCTTTTCCAGCGGGGCCGCACCAGGAACTGGGGTGGTTTAAACAGGGAGCTCTAGGGTGTGAATTTTTCACACCCCTGAGCACTGTCGATGTCTAGGAACTTTTAAGAGTCGACCAGGCACGCTCCCTGTGGGCCAGGCCTGCCACAAATACAACATCATCCCACCAGTCAGGAAAGCCACGGAAGGCTTGTCGCTCGGGACACCACAAACTAGGCTAGACAAAACTCTGGCGAATGTACTTCAGGGATCCACCTCGCCTGGTCCCTGCGGCTGGAACAGGCGGCGTCTCAGGGGTCTTCTCCATCCCTGACTCTACTGAGACAAACATTCCTTCGAGCAAAGGAGGGGTTTTTCCTTAAAGCCACGGATATCTGAAAATGGCACTAGTTGGCTATGGGCTAGATAGATAGATAGATAGATAGATAGATAGATAGATAGATAGATAGATAGAGTGTATGGGGATAGATAGATAGATAGATAGATAGATAGATAGATAGATAGATAGATAGATGGGGTGTATGGGGATAGATAGATAGATGGGGTGTA